ATTAATTTTGGGTGTCCCTGGGTGGGTGTGAACTGAAAACTTTTTAATATTTTTAATTTAAAAAGGAACTGTTGTTATTTTCCCTAGGTTTGGAACACTTACTGCATAAAGACATAACAGCCTGTACTCATTAGCAGATGTACTCTTTGTTTTAACATTATACTTTCATGACTAAGTTAGGGAAAGAATTTAGTAAGGGCCTTTGTAATTCTATAGAGAAATCTAATCAAGATAATATCCTATTCTCTCTATCTCATCCAATAACTTTTTGAGGTACAGACCAGTGATGATCAAATATCTCCTTCTGATGACAGATAACATTCAAGGGAAGAGATGAGAGGAGGTTAATTGCACTTAGAATGAGAGTTTAACACTTGGCCTATTGAATCCCACTTAATATAGGTGACATTCAGAAACTTAATTCTGTTTCTCAATCTGCATTACCTAACATTTAAACCTAAACAACCACATCTGTTGACTCAACATGTTCTTTCTAAACATCCATGCTCCAGCACCAATCCGCCTAAAAAGTGGGTTACAGTAGAGAACAACATGGACATTCTCCTGGATGGCCCTGTTTGCCTCTCATGGAAATCATGATGAACTTGGAAGGCAGCTATTGAAAAGAACACTGAAAGTACAGTGGCGTCAGTCCATAGGAAATTGGATATTTCTAGAGATCAGAGATTCTAAGGTTCTGAAGGTTCAGAAAGGTCCTGCTGAGAAGACAAGCATGCTTCTGCTACAGTTTTTAGTGTATCCTTGCCCTTCGGTCGGTGACCTCATTTCCACTTAACCTGGATACTATGCTTGGATTCTAGTCCTCTTGATGCCAAGTTTGGGTTGGTCTTTTAGACTTTCTGGTCTTGCTCAAACTTTGTATATTACCTGTATCCTGCCAGTTACCAAATGCATAGGAATGATAACTGGTCCTTCTCCCAAATAGTGTATCCTGTAAAAGGTTGGTAGTGTATTTCTGATTTTTTTTTAACTAAATAAATACAAAGTTTCACTGTATAGCTCAAGCTGGGCCAACCTTCAACTTGCTGTATACTCCTCAGACTGTCTTCAAATCTGTGGTACTCCTGCCTTTGCTTCCAAGTGCTGGAATTACAGATGTGTGCTATAATGCCAAGCTTGAAGTACCTGTCATCTACCACTTAAGAATTTGTCCCACAAACCCAATATTAGAGATCAAACACAATGTCTTGTATATACTAGGCAAGTACTATATCACTGACTAAGCAAGATCCCTGGTCCTTGGGCTAAGTACCTGCAAAGTGCTTATTATAGTCTGTTGAATAAATGATGGGTTATCAAGGAGAAATTACAATCCAATATCTGTCCAGGATTTCACAGCCTAAGTTAAAGAAAATTGCACACGCATAAAAGATGTCATCAAAATATTATTGGTAGAGGCTTGCACAGGATAAAGGATAGATGGCTGTAAGTGTTCATTATTTTCTTTTTAAAAAATATTTTTATTTATTATTTTCATTTTATATATATTGCATGTGTGTATGTGTACCTGTGTCTGCGATGTCCGTGGAAGTCAGATGAGGGCAACAAAATTCCCTGGAAATGGAGCTATGGATGACTGTTAGCTGTCATGTGGAGTGCTGGGAACTGAACCCGAGTCCTCTTCAAGAGCAGTCAGTGCTCTTAACCTTTGAGCCATTTCTTTACCCCAAGCTCACTATTTCTGAAGTCCATTTAAGAAAGAATCCTTAAGGTCAGCATGTCCGTATGACATTTTAGTCCTAAGGTGCCAGAGGATACTCAACTTGATACAAAGACAATGAAAGACTAAAACTGCAACTAATAAACTTAAATTTGGATTTTGAGTATATCTCCAAATGTATATATATATATATACATATATATTACACATAAACACATGCACACACACGTATGTATACATGTAGATATATGTCTAAATCTTCTATGGTATTTCTAATTGCATTTAAGTCTGTTAAAATTAATACAGCTGTTTTCACACAGACATTATTAAAATAAATAAAAAATGCTCATTATTCTAGAAGAATGCTTTTGTACTCCAAGCTTCAGCCTAGAAAAATAGTGCTATCTGGTGGTTACATCTGGGAATAAGAGGTGAAGGACCCTAGAGGCTGCAGAACCTCTCAAAGGTTGCTCCCAAATAATTCCATATCATCACAAGAGAAAAAAAAGGTACACATAACTTATCAGCTCCTGGATGGGAAAGGACTTAGATACCAATTACAGAGTTATTTTCAGGCTGGCATGGCAATCATTATCAACTTGGACTCTGATGTCACAGACTAGCTTGACCTTGGCAGCATGACTTCAAGGAGGCTGTCAGACTTGTTTCATCTTTGATTAATTTCAACTGTGACATGGAGGCTTAAATGTTCACTCCCTGATAGGAGTACTAAGAAAATTAAAAGGAATATGTAAAAAATATTCTGCATAGGACTTGGCACTTAACAACTTAAGCAACTCAACAAATTTTTATTATAATTACATGATTATTTACTTAGGATGTGAATAGGATATAAAAAATTTTTACATGCAGAAATATTTTATAAATTAAAAAAGGTAAGTTATAAAGTCACCATCAACAAATATACTTGTATAAACTGTAAGTATCAGACATTAATGTTAAGTATGTGGAAGCAAAGTAATAAGCTGAACAGGTTCAAGTTATATTGCAACCCTTCAGTTGAAGCACATTTTCAATGAAACCAAATTTTTAGAGAATACAAATAAACTTTAAAATATCATCTTATTCTAAAAATTATCCTGACCCTTTTGCAGCGAAGATATTTTCCACCACTTTTCAGTTCCTAGACTAAAGCATCTTAATGCACATCATTCTTAAAGATGCATTAGGT